GGGGGGAGAGAGGGAGAGAGACATAGAGAGAGAGAGCGCGCAAAGTCTTAGACCGCTTCTACCATTTCAGTTTCAGTTTGTCTCGTCTAAATATTTTTTGGCAGGTTTCAGACTAACGGCCTTGATTCGAGAGTTTCAGTGTGTGTGGTGTTCGGTTTATCACAAAGTGCTCTGGTTCTCAGTGAAGGAATGTGCACTACGGGTCCTGGCAGCTTGGTCTCCACCAGCCAGGTGTCCCAGATGAACTGTAGGACAGCCCTCCACCCTTCCACCAGAACAGGTCAATGCTGAGTACCCCTTCTCCAGTCTGCAGAGCATCTGTGTACAGTACATGAGGTACATCACTCCTCAAGGTACAATTAAAGGGCCAACAAGTCACTGCCTGCTCTGCACCTTCCTAGTTTACCTGTCACCTGATGAATGCTTCCATTGTCTCAGTTTCTGTACTTGTACTGTTTGTGTTGGTGACTAGCACAAAGTGCTCCTGAATCATTTCAGGCTTGCTTGAACATTGAAAGGATGTGAAATGTATGCATGACATACTGTTGCACTTGTGTTGTCTCTACACATAATATGTTTTTCTGTTACTGTGCTACAGTGCAGCCTTTTCTTGTATGAAGGCTGTTTGCCTATTGTTTTTGTCTGGTGAACTACTTTTTTTTCTAAAGAAAATGCTTTGTTTATGAAGCAGCAATTGAGTTTGAATGTCTTATGCTGTAATGAGCAAGTTGATCAGACCTTGGGTGTTGCATTGACTTTGCAAGAGCAAAGCTGGTGTATCCTCTAATACTGCACCTTCTATGAATAGTCATAACCTCAAATAAAAACAGGGAATTACCACAGCATTGTTGTATGTGTTTAAGGTGAGAGACACCCACAACACATTCAGCGGATTATTTAATACGGTAACTCTGTGGCTTAGACCTTATCCTGGATGTTCTAGCAGTAACGAGACATGCAGTTCTTTCTTAAAATAACATCTATTTACAGTATCTCGGTGTGTGAAAGTGAATCGGGCTGTGTTTGATGTTGTCACTCCTGTGGGAGATGCTTTTTAAGGATTGTTTGCCAATGAAGATGCCACCACACATTATCCCAGTGACACATGGAGAAACTCCAGTACAGCCTGAAATAACCGGCCGTCACACGACAGATAGACAAACAAAAGTGAGAAGCAAAGAGAGAAACAAGAGATGACAGAGAGAAGAAGAGAGCCACATGGCAAGAACAGTCAATTCCTGCCTCCAAATTATTCTATTTATGATGGCAGACATTGTTTATGAATACATTAGAAAAAGTTACTCTATAATTAGTCTGTTCCTCACTACTGGATGAGTCCAAACAAAGAGGACAGCATCTCACATCTCACTATCTGACAAATAGCTACACTTGTTTGCTATTATTACAGTTCTGAAATGAGTAGGCATGAATTACACCTTCATTCTGCAGTGTCAAGTGTCTTACTCATTTGTAGCCTGTGTGTGTGTGTGTGTTTGGGCAGATCTGGCACTGTAGCAGTTACTCTGCTGATGTTGAGATTTGTGTAATTGTGTCACATAGCAGACAGAAACTACTTTCTAATTATGTGTTGTACCAATGCTTCGTTTTTGCTGCAGGGGAATACCAGGCGGAGTTGAGCACATGTGGCCAGGGGTTAGGTTAATATGTTGAGTGGCCTCAAAGCGTGTGTGTCTGTGATAATATGTCTGTCTGTATTATATATAGGTATGGCCTTTGTGTGTGAGAGGCAGTTGGTGTGAACGTGTAATGTGAGTTACGTGTCTGACTGTGTCCCATATGTGGCCGTAGGTCGGCAGGGCTTTTGGGGAAACTGATTGGCCCTCCGCTGTCTGGTATGGAGAGCGTGTAATTAAGGCTCTGTAAAGCTACAGTGCAGAAGAGCCGAGTTTTCTTCAGGCTGCCTCCCATTGAAGTTTTATTGCCTCTGACCATGAAAGGCCTTCTAATGAGGAGCAGGATGCCGGAGGAAGTTGGGGAGACCAGGGAGAGCAAAAGAGGGGAGGCAGAACGATAGCAAAAGAGAGGAAAGAATGAGGTGAAAGGCAGTAAACTATGAAACTGTCAGTTTAGTGTAAATGCGCAGTAATTATGTGGTGAACATTTTCAGGGTGTGATGAACTTTTCTAGTGAAAATGACAGTGCATCCATACAGAAATACTACAGATGTTAAACTGCATCTTCTAAGCAACAACACACACTTTATTCTAAAGTAAAAATGTTATTGTGGCATAGTTTTGTGGCTCTAAATTCTCTGTAAATGTTTTCAGTTTTGAGTCTTTACACACGGAAAATCAGCACATTAAATAGTTGTCATACTCCAGTACATGCTTGGCTTTCAGCTGGCTCCTTTGCAGAATTTACAGAAAAGGTTATTTATCCTTTACTTAAGGCATAATAAATAATTATATGACCTATCATCAATAGCATGCAAATTAGTCTCTGGGTTAGAATATACTGACTACACCACTGCATCAGCATTACCACATCCAAGTGTAACAGTGGCTGAATACCTGCTGATTTACCGGCTCACTGCTCTCAAACTAGGGACCTCAATGTTTTCTAATTCTCATTCTTTTGCAGTGTGATCAGAACCTGCTGCTGGATTAAATGTCTGTTATTTGCAACTGAATATTTCCTGCAAGCCTCTAAAATGCCTTTATTGTAAAGAAGCTACAAGAAATGGTGAAAGACTTGAAACTTGTTAAACAAAAAGTAATTCACATCTAAATTTGGACAATGGACTTTTGTTTCCAAATGAATTTGAAATTGATTGGAACAGATGGTAAAAAGCAGATGCTAACACCATACAGGAGATAGCAAAAATCTTTTATGATGTTATTTCTGTCACATACTGAAGGCATCACTTGTGCAGGTATGGAAATGTCATGTTCATAGAAAATGTAACTTCTACAGCTATAGGCATACAGTATATGCACAGAGAGGCAAGCTCATCCTTCTGTTGAAGGTCAGCTTATGTAACCATATGAAAATGGTGGATTATAGAACATTTATCATTTTCATACTGTGGCACTGAAATGCTGAAGTGCTGTCAACCATCACATTCATGAGTAGAGCGCTGAAGATTTTAATGACAAAAGAGGAGCCAGATCTGATAGAATACACACATAGACATGCACCAGAGTTTCTCCCAGTGCTGTAAATAATGTGATACAGTGAAGGGGCAGCAGGTTTGGCCAGCATACAGGACCCAGTATCGGGCCTCCGCAGGGTTTCTATGTAAATATCAGTGTGCTGTCTCAACAGATGTAATCAGGCTTTAGAAGGAGATCATTGTGTCCTCCCTCCTTAAACCAGCCTCATCCTGGACTCTCACAGATAGCATCGATTCGGCCTTTACTCTGGGTTTTTATGTCAACCATTAGCCTGAGTTCAGCACAATCACGGGAGTATATGTATACACATTACTCACTGGGTATATCTTCCCTTTCTCCTTTCTCATTAATCGCCTCTCTTATTCAGTGCATCTCTATTTTCTCTCTTGTATGTACACTGTCTTTTCTCCCTCCTCCTCTGCGTCTCATGAGAACTTTTGATCATGCCTTCACCCTTGCATGTTAAAACACACTCATACATAAAACTTAAACCTGGAGCTGTTTTAATGCTTGCCTTCTCTTCTTGCTCTTTTCCAATGCATCATCCCCTGATCACGTTTACCCAGTGTCTGTCTGTGCAAACACAGCCTCAACAAACAACAGATCTGCATATATCTTCGCATACAGAGCCCTCCCAGACAGATGATGACAGAAAAAGGAAAAATTTGATGGTAGGTTCAAAGGTTAGAAAGATAGTGTTGAAGAAGAAAATGAGAAATAGTGAGGGGAAACTGCGGAGGCGAGCTTGTGAGGAAAGATAAGGAGGGAGAGAATGTGATGATGGATGACGTGGGAAGAACGACGGAGAAGTGAGGTGGGGGAAAAAGTAGCAGAGAGGAACTACAAATTCAAGGTGGAAAGAATGACGAGCAGGAAACAGAATAAAAAGGGGTTGAAAAGAAGAGGGTTTGAATTAAGTGAAAACAGCGAAGGCCAATATGGTCTGATCCTTGGATTCTTAAGAGTTGTTCTTGTAAACAGGCCCTGTCGTAAATGAGAAATGTCCCCTGCGGTGTGTTGCGTTGTGCTTTTGTGTGTCTCTGTGGGCATCCAGGCACTTTCTCTGCTCAGTAATCAGAGCACATTCCTACTTTCTCTAAGCACGGGCAAAATCTTAGTTCGCACCTTTAAGAAACCCAGTGTAAAAGCACCACAAACTCCCTCCTTAGAAAAGACCACAGGATGGAGCGGAATGGAGAGCATGCTATCTAAGTGTGATCATCACTAATGTAAAAGCCCCTCTTTACTACAGCATCATATACTGCAGCAAAATGCAGCTAGGGTGTAACACTGTCATTGTCAGTGATGCATATGCATGTTTGACAAGGTGCCAACTCTACAGCCTTGTTTTTCTCCAGTATATTGTACAGGCACATCACAAGATGCAATTTATTATCTCTATATATCATGTGATAAGAATATCTATAAACCATTCTGAGGAATAATTGTAGTCAAATAACATTTTTATTCCAGTTAGCCCATCTTGTGAATACATTTATTGATTGGAATCAGTAGTTTTTTTTCTGAGAGGGACATTAATAGTCAAGAAAAGTCAAATAAATCAATTTGATCCTCACATTTTATGGAGTGTGTTAATATTTGTTCATATACAATAGCTTATGGGAAGAAAAATAAAGCACACATCTCATTTATTTAGACTTATTAAATGAGAGGACTGCACCGGCTCTTACACAACCGCAGACTGTACCCATCTGGCAGTGGCGTCTCCTCATTCCTGCACCAACTTTATCCAAT